TCACATGGCCTCTGTCGCCATTCGGGAACCTCACGTGGCCTCTGTTGCCAATCTGGAGCATGGCACTCTGTAGCTTTTTCCTCTGAGCAAAATTTTTCATCTTTGCTGTGAGGCTGCACAGGGTGGGGACCTGCTTCCTGGGATGCCCCAGGGCCATCTTTCTTATCTCTCTGTTTCACCTCAGGAATCAAAATCTCAACTCTGTCTTTACAATCCACACCCTTCCTGGAATCTTCCTTCGGGCCAAACTCACAGCATTGTACATTATCCTGCTGGGCTCTTTGCTCCTGATTTGAAACATAAAGCTGGCTGAAAGCCACCAACAATAGCCATGCCACAGCCTCAACATTTGGTTGCTTTTCAATTTCTTTTTCAAGATTAATCAGTCCATTGCCCTTTGTCTCAGTCTCAGGCAAAGTCTCTGGGCAGGAGCAAAATGCAGACAAACTTTCTGCTAAGCCATAATACACATCATGTGGAGTCCAACGACCAATGCAGTCCTTCCCAGCAGAAACCTCCCAAGCCTGGTCTTTACCATCAGGTTTTCTATCAGCTTTCTGGTCTCCTGAGCTCTGACCAGAATCTCCTCTACAGAACAGCCTACGCTGCTCCAGCTCTCTGCATCCAGGCGACATGTCCAAACTTTTCCAAACTCCGCCCACAAGCCATTTCCAAAGCCTCTTGAAAAACATGGCCAGGGATAGTCACAGCAAACGTCCCCACTCCCGGTACCAAATTTCTGTCTTAGTTACTTTATGCTCATCGCTGAGACAAAATACCTGATGCCCAAGTTGGGAAAGGAAAGGTTTATTTCTTACAGTTTTTGGAGGTTTCAGTCCACACTCAGTTGACTCCAAGGCAGGCGGGCATGGCTGGACCGCAGTTCATGGCAGCTGTCGACAGCAAGCTTGAACCAGCAAAGAGAAAGACACACCTTCTTCCTGCCATTACATCACATCCTGGCTCCACCCCTATGTGGGTGGAGCACTGACACCATCAATCCAAGCACTATACAATGAACCATCACAAATGAACAATGCAAACTCATGAGGCCTGGGGGACACAGACATAAACCATGACACAAACCTAGCACCCTCCTTCAATACACAGGCTTCTCTTATGTTCTCCATCTCATATGTTAGCCATACAGCATTCAGGTATAGTCTCCTTAATTTTCTTGCCAATCTCTTGCTACAGACCAAATAGCTTCCTCAAAAGTGAGATATCTAGGTCTATATCATCACTGACTTACATAACTGTTTCCATATAGGATCCCAGGCTCTATACAGACTTTTAGCCCCAGTAGTTACACATCCTTCTCTAAAGGCTTATCATTCTTCGGATTACTCACACTGTCATCTCTGTGCTAGGACCTCTCCTCAGGGACATATAGCATCCCCTTCTTTTCCTACTCATCAATTTTGTGGACACACCCCTGGGCAGGACTGGCAGATAGATTTTACATACATGCACAACCACAAAACTCTCAAATATCTTCTCACCTTTGTTTGTACTTTTTCATGATGGATAAAAGCCTTTCCCACAACTATGGACACTGCTGATGTAGTTAGTAAGGTCCTGTTACAGGAAATCATCCCAAGGTTTGGTCCTCTCAGGGTATTCAGTCAAATAATGGTCCAGCCTTTATTTCTCAGATCACTCAACAGGACTACAACCAAGGTGGGATGGCCCCTACCTAGTCTTGGCAACCCCGATAGTGGTCAAAGTTGCTGGACTGCCATCCTGGTTTCACATCACTCAAGTTAAATGGTGCCCTCCCAACCCTGAAGCTAACCATCCTGAGTGGTCATCTCATCTTCTATTGCCCACCCATCTCCATTTCATAAGGCCTCACAGCCACAACTTTCAGGATAAGTCATGTTTTGCCATCCAGTTTGGTTCCTAATTCCTTACATTCTATTAATTATCTTTTTTACAGCAGGACTTTTCACAGTCTTTCCTAAAGACTCCCACATCATGAGTAAGATCATCTTCATGTTGTTCTATGTGACAACTGTCTTAGTTCTCTCTACCCTCAGCTGTTTGGTCAAACATGAGATCCCTGAAGGCCTAGGCTCTTATCAACCTTATAGTGACACAGCCATGGCCCTCCCTTCTTCTACTCTGTTATTTCCCAGATATGATTCAATCAGGTCTTATATTTCTCATGGATCTTATTCTTTCCAGCTTAACTCTTGGGCCAGAAACAAGCCCTACCTACCCACATTTCTAACTTTTACCCTTTAACATGGGGGAATAATTACCTCTCATAACTTCACTCCTTGTAACCCCACACTTATTTTTCAGAATTCTACCTCACCATGGTCTTGATGAAATGGCATATTTAAATCAAAAGCACCTTTCCTTCTATCTCACCTGGGTCCTTAAATATGATAGTAGCCTTCCTCCTCATAGCACCTTGTCTCTTTGTTTTTCCAGTCTAAGATGAGGGCATTCACCAATGATAAAGTTCTGGCTGAAACACCTGGTACCAGCTTCTACATGGGCATCAACCATCATCCTGTCAACCTTCCTGAATCCCAATATTGTGCCCCCTTTCAGCAGTAAGTAGTAAGAGAGAGACTTCGCCCTTTTCCTAACAATAAAAAGATGGGATTCAAAGGTTCTTGCCCTAGAATAAATTGCTGTATGGTGATGGCTGTGGCCTAATGTGACTGAAGGCCAAAGCAGGACTGCCTACCACTTCCTGCTTCTTCCTCAGACTTAATTGCAACCCCCCTTCCTGTTTGCATGCAAAAAAATTCCAATCATCCCCTTACCCCTCATCAATGCCCGCCCTAAGCACCACCTCTGGTCAGAGATTATGATAGATCCCATACCCCACGTTCCAGCAGAGAAAGCCAGGCCACTAGCAGTCATGGAGTTCTCTCTACATCCTTGGAGTAAAGGCTATTTTTACTTTATATTCTCTCTCTTTTATTGCACCAAAAACTCTTTCACTTTGCAATTGTGATGAATTTAAAGATTCTTTTCTTAACTGTTATTTTTCAACTTCCTAAGTGATGTCTGATTTTTTTGTAGTTTTCTTTCTGTTCTTAAAACACAATTTCCCATTGTACTCCAGCCTGGCTTTTAATTTAAGATGCACTCGGGATGGCTTCCAGCTCACAGTCCTACTGCCCGAGCCACAGAACACTGCGACTCTAGGCTCACACCAACCACACTGGTTTAGAAGGCAAATATTCTGACCTGTGATTTCCATTCCACTTTTGTGCTTCTCCCCTTCACTTTTCCTTTCTTCTCACCTTCTTGTATCAGCCTATGTTTTAGACTATTCTAGATTATCCAGTAGGGGCATAGATGTCATCCCATCCCAACTGTCCTCTGTAAGATGAGGAAGGGAAGTTTGTTTGTTTGTTTGTTTTGTTTGGTTGGTTGGTTAGGGGGGTTTTTTTGTTTGTTTTTTGTGTTTTGGTACTCAGATCAAACTTATTTTCTCGCACTTGTCAGGCAGGCACTTGTGTTGCTGATGTAAATCCCCGCCCAGAGAAAGGGAATTTAAATGCAGAAGAGAGGGCTATGTGAACACAGGAGCAGAGACATGAATGACAGGCACACATGGCTGGAGGAGGTAAGGTCCATCCTGAGAGCCTTGACAACATCATGATTCTTGCACTCAGTTTCATATTTTGTGGAACATGTAATCTTGAGCTACCACTACATGGCAATGTGTCATCTTACTGTAATGATTTGGGAGAGTCTCAGTCTATCCAGACTGGAGGACAAATTGATGGCAGGAAATACACTGTGAGGGAAGCTGCCCTAAAGAAGCCAAGGATGTGGTTCCATGGAAGTTGTGCATGGGGGAGGAGGTAGCCAAAGACAGGACTGCAGGGAGAGGGTAGGAAGTGGCCTGAATCAAGGGAACCCAACAGTATGGGAAGAGGCAACATGGACCAGGGTGACCCAGCACTGTCATGAGGAGGTAGCCCAGAACAAAAGGGTATCCAGGGATGTAGGTAGAGATTGAGGAGCCATGAGACATGCTTGTCCTGGACAACAAGGCCTGTGTTGTAGGGAGGTACATTTTGGTATGGTAATCCTGGACAGGAAAGTGCCCAACTACTGAAACTGGGCATAGAGAGAGCACCAACTTCTGTGCCTGGATTCAGGCACCTAGCTATGTCCCCAGAAGCTCACACTTACTTCCCTCTAGGCCCCTGAGAATGGGGCTCCAAAGCACCTGCAGACATGCCAAGGCTGAACTTAGCATTGGTCTCTTCCATCCCTTACCACCACCCTGCCCCTCTCCCCATCCACACCAGGCCAGGTCAGCCATGCCCCTCATGATAGGGAGTTTCTTTCTATTCTATTGTTATTCATATTCCCTTTCCCATGGGAGGGTCAACCACCTACTGTCCCTGTCTGAAATAGATACATGGGGACAAGAGCAGCAGGGGAACCTGGCATGAATGCGGAGGGGGACAAGGGACCAAGTCCCCTAGGAACATACAAGGAAACCCCAGGAAGAGCCTGAATTCGATGGCTCTGGACCAAGGATGTCTTCTTTTCCAGTGCCTGGACTGGCCACTCTCCTGGCATGGCCTGGAGTTCCAGGCATAAAGACAAGCAACTTCTTTGGAAAGCCAGGCTGTCCACTACCACAAGCCACCTTCGGTAGTGTTCAACAGAGGCCCAACTATGAAGCAGGGTGCTGTGTGAAAGCAGAGTGGCTGCAAGGAGCAACTCCCAAGGTTGGACCCACTGGGTGCCAGCATCTACAGACAGGAAGGAGCAAAGCTGGGAGGATAAATGTCTTATCCAATCCCAGGGCCATGACATGCTCAGTGCTATCGGAGTCCGGAGCCAAGAATGGCCCACTGCATACCAGGTGTGCACTGTAGGCCCTATAGGTTCTGAGCTGTGGCCTACAGTCCTTTGGCCCCTGTGGTCAGTCTGGGCCCTCTCCTCTGCATGGCCATTCAGGCTGTGGAGCAAAAGACAGGAACACCCCTTGCTGGGGACAAGGAATACAGATATGGAGGCCTGCAGCATGAGTTTATTTAGCATACAAGGCAGTTCTACAAGCAGCGTGGCTTCTGCAGCACCTGAGTAGGCAGTGCTGCACTGTAAGGAGGGTCTCACAACTGTCTCATTGTTTGTGGCCCGTGGAGCAGCCAGATGGCATCTGAACAGCAATGACAGGAAGAACAGGGGACAGAAAGCAGGCACTTGAGAGGGGAAAATTCACAAAGATGGCTGGGTTTCAGAATGGTAGCAGAAAAACAAACCCAGGCCCGAGAATCTCAGGCCTCCCCTCCCTGGGCTCCCTTCAGCCCCCGACTCAACCATACTTACTGCCTATTCAGTCACTGATGCATTTCTCTGTAGGGGAAAAAGAACATCAGGCCAGGGGTGTGTGTATTTGTGTGTGTGTATGGTATCTCTGGCTGCCAGGACTCCTGCACTACCCTGTGTGCCTGAAGCCCAGCCCAGTCCAGCTGCAGAACATATGGGAGTTCCCTGAATTTAGGGCCCAGGCATTGGCTTCCCTGGGTGTCTGGGCCTCAAAGTTGCTCAAGTATGAAGGGCTCGGGTCTGATGATCTGCTGAGTCCTGGACACCTCTCAACCAGTGGCCTGAGTGGCCTGGCTGGAGCCCCCTGCCTCAGCCAAGACACTTGAGTGTAAGGACATCATTCACATCAGAAATGGACACGTCCTAGGGGACAGAAGAGATTGCCCAGGCAGGTAGAACCAAAGAATTGAGAGGGGGTGGCCGAGGGCATTGAGACCAGGGAGCTTTGGACCCAGAGCTGAGACTGTTATCTGTGGAGGCCTTGGCTAAACTGGAAGGGGAGCACATGGGGATAGGTGCCCAAGAGGTCCACAGATCCCACCAAGGGAGCTGCTGACTCTCTGGTGACTGGACCAGAAGACTGAGTGTCTCCTGTCCAGTTTCCTGGTGGGCAGCATCAGGCCTGGATACACCCCACCTCCCAGTCCCCCTCTCCAGTATCCATTACCTATCCGGGTGTGAAAGACAACGTTATCTTCTGTTAAGCCGGCATACTTAGCATAGCGGATGAAGTATTTCTTCAGTCTGGGACTCAGCTCCTTGGTCCTCCCTGAAGTCAAGATGGCCAATGAGTGCCCAAGAGAAAGGCACTCTACAGGTTTAAGTGTTTTCAGGCAGGGTCTTGCTATGTAGCTCAGTCTGGCCTTAAGCTCACACTTATCCTGTCTCAGCTTCCCAGTGCTGCAGTGACATGGGCCAGCGTACCTGGCTTACACTAAAAGTACTTTTGAATGAATGAAGGTCTCAGACCCCTCTCCCATGGGTAGTGGAACATGAAATGACTTCCTCCCCAAGTGAGGCTCGAACTGCAGCTGTCTTTGGGGCCTTTAGATATAGGGGCACCCTCTCCCAAGTGTAACCAGGAGTGAGGACAGGACCCACCATAGAGGGTGAGGTAGAAGAGCACCCTGTCTTTGAAGACTTGCGTAAAAGCCATCACAGCAAACTGATCGTAGTCGGTATCTGCCACTCTCATGGAGAATCTCTGTATTGCACGGTGACTTGCTGTGTGGACAAGCCAGAGGTCATTTCTGTCCTGGCTGGGAAACGGGAACAGATCCTTTCCCCCAGGACTGGTCAGCAGGGTCTTCTCCCCACAGGACAGTGTCTGTGTGGTGGGTCGGAAGGCCTGTGCCCTTGTGAGAGGACTCTGCCCCCACAATCCCAACACCAGATCTCACTACTCAGGACTCACCACTGATGGTTTCCTGGATGAAATCGCCAGGAAGGTGAGCTGGAAAAAAGACTCTGGTCCAGTGATCACAGCCCTGGCCCCTATGACAGGAGAAAGAGCAGGGGTTGAGCAGATCAGTGACACAAATTTGGTCACACTGAGAGTCACTGTAAAGAACCAGAGCACAGCAGGATACTGAGGTCCCAATCTAGCCCAGCCTGTGACAGCTTGGCCCTCTCTATGGCAGAAGCCCCTCCATGGCCCTAAGTCTTCTACTCTGTGCTTCTGCCTGGGCTTCTGCACTCAACCATCCCTCCCGCACGCACTGTCCCCGCTGCTGCCTCCCTGAGGCAGCCTGTCCCACATCCTTGCCGTTATGTTGCTGGTCCTCCTTTCTGTCTTACATTCCCATTTCCTCTGAACTTCCAGTCTGCTGCATCCCAGTCTCTGCCTAACACTTGGGCGGCCACAACTGACCTCTTTCCTGAGTCCACCCCAACCCTGCACCCCAGTCTCAAGCCAATGAAACCTGCCTGCCTATTCCCCTACATCTTCAAAAGCACCAAATGACCAGAGCCAGAGCACAATGTAGGTAGTATGAGCCTGGACTCCACTCTCCAACTCCTCATTTGGGCTACCTTTGCCTTCTCCCACCTGGCATTACCTTCATAATTGTCCACACCTCCTCTGTGTCAGTTGAGCCTAGATCTGGTCATTGCAAGAGCCCTAGCCCAACACTGGCTGTGGATGAGATGCCTCAGAGCCTGGCCAGGCAGTGCTCCCCTCTGGCTGCTCATCAGGCCCTGCTCAGCTACCAGCACTGATTCCTGGCTGCTCTGCCGTTGGCTAAGGTGAGGCCCTGCTGTGACCCTTGTGACATTATTACTTTTCAGGTGATGGTGTTGGCATTTGACCCCAGGGCCACTGCAATCACATATATCCCAGCCTTTTTTCATTTCTAATTTTAGACAATCTCTTGTTTGGATTCCCAGTCTGGCTTTTCTTTTGTAACCCTCCTGCCTCAGCCTCTGGAAACACTAGGATTACAGGCAGGTCAACAGTGTTAAGGTCACATCTCTACCAGATCTACTTGCTGGCACTGAGTGGCATCCCAGGCTGGATCCAGTATACCCTTCCCCTTCTGGCATACTTCTCTATTTTTTAATTTCTTCTGATTCTACTTGTGCTAAAACCACCCATGAATACTGATAGAAGGGAGAGAGGAAAAGAAAGAGGGAAAGAAGTAAAAAGGGGAAAGGAGCAGCAGCTGGAATCCATGCTGAACAGTGAGACAAATGGCCACATCCCAGAGCTTTGTCACCCCTTGACTGGTGCTTCTCAGCACCAGAGGAGGTAGGAATTCACCTGAGCATGGTGGTGATGACAACGTAGTTGTAGTTCTGTATCAGCATGTAGGTGACGCTCTGCATGTTTAACCCCTTTTGCTTTCCATTGCGAATTCTGCTGTCTGCCATCGCTATCGTGTACCACTTGCCCTGGAACTGCAAGGGACTGGTGACCAACAAAGCCCAGGGATGGTCCCAGAGCCAGCCCTCCATGCTGTCCCTGCTGGGACTTCTGGGAAACTCTCCAGACCACAGAAACTAGGCATGGGGTTCTCCTGAGAAACCCAGAGAGACCCTGGGTGTGATATCAACCCCATTTTGTCTGAAATAAGGTGGCTCTGGGCAGGCAGCTGGTGTGTTTTGGAAGCCTCACTTTTCTTGTCTGTGTGGAGGGCCTGAAAAAGTTTCCACCTGACATGACCTGAGGCCTGGACTCCCCAGTCCTAGCATTCTCATATGACCAAGCCCCTGGGTCCCCTGACTCTCCTCCCCTTTGATATCATTGTCCCAGTACCCCAAACCCCCACTGCAGCTACTCTTCCACAGCCTTTACCTTGTCGTACTGGAACTTTGGCTGCAGGGGAACCGGGTTGATCGGAGGAAAGGTTGGTAACACAGTTATATTGAAAACCTGCTCCTGAGGCTTCACGGCCCCGAGCAGGGTGAGGTTGAGAAACAAGAGATCCAAAGTCATGGCTTCTCAGCAGCTCTCAGCAGCCAGGCGTTGCAGGAGGACAGCAAAGATTGAGATAGGACTGAAGAGGAAGTAGTTATAGGCCTCCTGACTGCAGCCAACCTTCAGAAACACATGACCAGATATCAGTTCCTTCCCCTCTGGTCACAATTGTGCAAGGTAGAGAGAAATGAAGAGGGCAGATGACATGGGAGACATTCTTAGAACTCCACAATCTTGAGGGCACGAGGGCTCCTGGTGGGTGTTCACTGAGCCACATCTATGCACCCAGTTGGCTCTGTCTGCCAGAAGCTCAGGTCCTGACAAGCTGTTATCTCTGAGCATGTTCCCAGTGCGTGTTGTGTGGCAAGACCTTTTCCCTGCACCTGCAGAAAACATGGAATGTGCTGGTTATGGTGGAACATGGTAGCGCATGCCTGCAACCCAGCACTCCAAAGCCTAAGGAAGACTACAAAGCTGGAGGCCAGCCTGGGCTACATAGTGAGTTCAAGGGCACCCTGAAGACTTACGAAGACCCTGTCTTAGGGGAAAAAAAAAGACAAAGAAATGCTCCACCCCCACTCTTTGCTGAATCTTGCAAAGGTCAGGACATGCTCGGGTGGCTGAGGCGGACATTCAGGACAGACAAGGACAGGGTGCTGCCCGGAGCCTGCTGAGCCCAGATCTTGGCCCCCATGGGAGCCCCAGCCCATGCCCTGGAGCAGGATGGCATGCCTTGAGTTCCTCTCTCCCTCCTCATCTCTAACTCATTCACAGAGCAGACAGAGATACAGAGCTAGGCACAAGGGACATTGATGGCTGCAGTCACAGCTCACTGCAGAACCCTGGAAAAAGGACCTGTGGCACAAGTGGAATGACGGGCAAGGTGGGCTGCACTCTGATGTGTACACCAAGTGGTTTAGGTCATGGGTACCAGGGTTTGGCCTTGTCCTTGAGAGGTCATTTAGATCAGCCCTTCATCTCTAACCACATTCTTGGGTCATGGGTCCCAGAGGCTCAAGTCTGGGGTCTCTCTCAGGGCTGCCCTTGAAATGGCTCATGCCACACCTGTCTGAGAGGGAAGGAAGGCATTTGCTCACTAGTGGCCTGGCCAATATGCTGGGGAGGCAGTGTTAACCTTAGGCCTTCTGCAGTGTCCCCTGAGATGACTCACACATGAGGGTGATGACTGACCTGGACAACTGACCTGAGGTTATACTGGGGTTTTTCTGGCTTTATATGGGACTACAAGGGTCCCCACTGTCTACTCATCTGCTACTAGGGCTGCAGCCTGGCTCAGGGGCAGTGCACACTGAAAGCAGGGGCTTTACACAGAGTACTTACCTGGTGGAAAGATCCTAGCCTCAGTCCCCCAAACACACACAAGATATCCATCTACTGCTCCCCATCAATTTGGATGGATGATGAAAAGGCAGCAAGTGAAGTTGAGCAAAGCTGTGGCCACCAGAGCGAGCCACCTTCCCTATACCCCTGGTTCCTCCAGTCCTAGGGGCTCCACCATTGCTGCTCTCTATGAGCTGGAAAAATATCCTCAGTGAGACAAGGTGCTGAACAGCGGTAATCCGTGCACTCTGGAAGGCTGCAGAAGGAATCCAGTCATCGGTGTAGGTACTCAACTGGGGTAAAGTGGACAAAGAGGTGAAATCTATCAAGGCCTGATGCTGCCCACCAGAAAAATCAGACTGGAGACACTCAGTTTCGTTTCCAGTCACTAGAGAGGCTGGACCTCCTGCCATGGGGTCTGTGAGTTCCCATGAATCCTGTCTTCAAGTTGTCCCCCTAATATTTTACCCAAAACCAGTCCAGATGACAATGTCAGTCCTAGTTTCAAATTTCTCCAGTCTCACTTTCCTGAGCCACCTCCTCCTCATACCTTGGGCCTTCCTATCCTGGGCCACCTCCTCCATCTGCTGGGGCTTGCCCATTCCTGACATAGCTGGTGTACTTACACTGAACTGACATGGCCTACAGAGGGGACTCCAACTAGGTCACAAGAGGCCAGCAGTGAGCTTTTCCTAGGGCTCAAAAGGAGGTTTTTGTGCCTGAGCAGCATGGAGTGCCAGATCCATGGGGGAGCCAAACCTGAGGCCTCAAATGCAGGCTACTCCAAGATGCTCAGCAGCTGTGTCAGGCCAGGTTTGAGCAGACATGGATAGTGCAGGGGTCCTGGCAGCCAGAAATATCACACACACACACACACACACACACACACACACACACACACATCAACATCCTGCCTACTCTCATGTTTTCTCCCCCACAGAGAAATACATCAATGACCGAACAGGCAATGAGTGTGGCTGGGCAGGGGCCGAAGGGAGGCCAGAGCATGGAGGCCGCAGGTCTCGGGCCTGGGTTTCTCCCCCTATTCTCATCCTGAATCCAAGCCATCTTTGTGCATTCTGCCCGCTCAGGTGCCTCCTGTCTCTCCACTGCCCATTCTTCCTGTCAGTTCTGTCCAGGTGCAATCTGGCTGCCCCATGTGCCACAAACTAATGAGACAGCTGTGAGACTGTCCTTACAGTACAGTGCTGCCTACCCAGGTGCCAAAAAAGCCACACTGCTTATAGAGCTGCCTTGTATGCTATATAAACTCATGCTGCAGACCTCCATGCCTCTGTGCTCCTTGTCCCCAGGGAAGAGCGATGATATATTTTACTCCACAGCCTGGATGGCCATGCAGAGGAGAGGGCCCGGACTGACCATGGGGGCCAAGGGACTGCAGGCCACAGCTCAGAACAGGACCTAGAGTGGGCACCTGGTATCCAGTGGGCCATTCTTGGCTCTGGACTCCGATAGCACTGAGCATGTCATGGCCCTGGGACTGGATAAGACATTTATCCTCCCAGCTTGGCTCCTTCCTGTCTGTAGATGCTGGCACCCAATGGGTCCAGGCTTGCAAGTTGATCCTTGCAGCCACTCTGCTTTCACACAGCACCCTGTTCCATAGTTGAGTCTGTGTTGGACACCACCAAAGGTGGCTTATGGGAGTGGACAGCCTGGCTCTCCAAAGAAGCTGCTTGTCTTTATGCCTGGAACTCCAGGCCATGCCAGGAGAGTGGCCAGTCCAGGCACTGGAAGAGAAGAGGTCCCTGGTCCAGAGCCATGGGATTCAGGCTCTTCCTGGGGCTTCCTTGTATGTTCCTTGGGGACTTCAGCCCTTCTGCTCCTCCCCATTTTAGCCATGATCCCCTGCTGCTCTTATCCTCATGTGTCTATTTCAGATAGGAACAGTAGGTAGCTGACCCTCCCATGGGAAAGGGGACATGAATAACACTAGAATAGAGAGAAACTCCCTGTCCTGAGTGGCATGGCCACCCTGGCCTGGTGTGGATGGGATGAGGGGCAGGGAGGTAGTAAAGGATGGAAGAGACCAATGCTAAGTTCAGCCAGACCTTTGCATGTCTGCAGGCCTTCTGGAACCCCTCTCTCAGAAGCCTGGAGTGAAGTAAGCGTGAGCTTCTGAGGACTTAGCTAGATGCCTGGATCTTGGCCTAAAGGCAGTCACCACCTCTTCCCACCCAATGACTCTGAGTCACCTCTCCTGGGAGATATGTTCCTCAGTGATGTGATGAGCTCACAGGGCATAGGAGTGGGTGCCTCCCTCTATGTACAGCATCACTATGTGGGCACAGTCCTGCCCAGGGTTACAATACCCCAAATGTCCTTCCTACAATACAGGCCTTGCTGGCCAGGACAAGTGTGGCTCATGGCTCCCCAGGCTCTACCTACATCCCTGAATGCCCCTCTTCTCCTGGGCAACCAGCTCCTGACAGTGCTGGGTTCCCCTGCTCCCTGTTGCCTCCTCCCATACTGCTGGGTTCCCTTGATTCAGGACACTTCCCCCCACTCTCCCTGCAGTCCTGTCTTTGGCCACCTCCTCCCACATGCACAGGTTGCATAGACGCCACATCCTTAGCTTCTCAAGGGCAGCTTTCCTCACAATGTGTTTCCTGCCACAGTAGAGCCATGGTAGAGCCAGACTGTGGCTCTCCCAAATCATCACACTACATTGATGCATGGCTATGTAGAGGAAGCTCAAAATTACATCTTCCAAAGGCAGGGAGCCCAAAACATGAAATTGAGTGCAAGAATCAAGATATAGTCAAGGCTTTTCTTCCTCCACAAGATCTGAGGTTGAACCTTGCCTCCTCCAGCCTTGTGCATCCATCAGTCATGTGTCTACCTCTGTCTTCACCTGACCCTCTCTTCTGCATTTAAATTTCCTTCCTCAGACCAGGAATTTAGATCAGGGACACAAGTGCCTAAGTGCCTGCCTGGAAAGTGTGAGCTCATGAGTTTGATCTCCAGCCAAAAAAATTATCTTCCTGTCTCACAGAGGAGATTTGGAATAGAATTACATTCATGCCCCATCTGGATAATCCAGAATAATTTGAAACTTAGGCTGATACAAAAGGAGAGCAGATGAATCTCACCCCAGAAAGAATGGCCAGGATAAAGAAAACAACCAACAACAAATGCTGGAGATGCTACAGGGTAAAAGGAACTCTTTTGCACCATTGGTGCTAGTGTAGACTGTGCAACCACTGTGGAGGTCAGTCTGGAGATTCATCAAAAAGCTAGGATTGGAGGGCCCATTTGACCCAGATATCCAACTTCTGAGAATATTCCCAGAAGAACTGAAAACATCGTACCACAGTAATATATGTGCACCCATGTTTACAGCAGCACAATTTGTAATAGCCAGATCTTGGAAACAACCTAAATGCCCACCAACTGAGAAATGGATACAAAAGATGTGGTAGTGCTCGCTTCAGCAGCACATATACTAAAATTGGAATGATACAGAAAAGATTAGCATGGCCCCTGCACAAGGATGACATGCAAATTCTTGAAGCGTTCCATATTTTTACGTGAAGTTCAAACCAAGAATGATCCTAACAGATAAAAAAGGTCATTACATACTGGTTAGGGGAATACTTCAAGAGAAAGAGATAACAATCTTAAATATATATGCACCAAATTCCAGAGCACCCAGTTATACAAAGTAAGTAGTAATGGAAATGGAAAAATCAAATTAGCAATAACACAGATATAAAAGGAGACATTAACACACAATTGACACTACGAGAAAGATCAACCAGACAGAAAATCAACAAATAACAGAACTCAATCACAACTGTGAACAAATGGACTTAATAGACATATACAGAGTGTTCCACCTAACAACATCAGAATATACATTCTCCCAGCAGTAAATGTAACATTCTCTAAAATAGACCAAATACTAAACCACAGAACATATTTAAATAAATGCAAAAGAGTTGAAATTATGCCATGTATGTTATCAGATCACAGCACGATGAAACTAGAAATTAATGATAAAAGAAACTGAAAAAAACCCATAAACACATGGAAACTAAATAAAACACTCTTAAGCAATCTGTGGGTCATGGGGGAAAATAAAAAACAAATTAAACAATACCTACAAGCAAATGAAAATACAAATACAACTTACCAGAATCTGTAGGATGCAATGAAAGCAGTCCTCAGAGGAAAATTCATTGTACTGAGTTCCCACATCAGGAAAACAGAATGAATACAAATAAATAACCTGATACTACACCTCAAACATCTAGAAAAAGAAGAGCAAGTCAAGCCCAAAGCCAAAGGGAGGGAGAAAATTATAAAAATTAGATCAGAAATTAACACAATAGAGACTAAGAAAACAATCCAAAGAATCAATGAATAAAAGAGTTGGTTCTTTGAAAGAATAAATAAAATTGATAAGCCCCTAGACAACCTGATTTAAAAAAGAAAAGAAAAGGCTCAAATTCATGCAATAAGGAACGAAAAAGGCAAAATCACTACAGATGCTGTGGAAATACAGATCATCAATACCTTATTTCAAAAACCTCCACTCTCGCCCTGTTTGTCTGCAGGACTGAGGATGTCGCAGCAAGCAGGGAGGGATCGCAGGTTCCTGAGGCACCGCGGCCTGTGGTGAGTGCTCAGTGCACTCTGTCCAAATCCCAGACTGTTCCAGACCCGCCAGGCTTCCAGGTGCAGTGAAGTGGAGAAGTGGGTTTGAGTCCTCTACATCTGCCTCCCCACCCCAGCTGCACTTGGAGAACTGCTGAGCTTCCATCAGGTGGGCAGGCCCACACTATACGGGGAGCCCAGCCTGTTTCAGACTGCAGCGCATAGACACAAGTGTGCAGAGGAGGGGCTGGGCGGATCTGGGGCACCTGCATCGACCTCCCTGTGTGTCTGGAGGAATGTGGATGTCTCGCCGGGCAGTGGAGCATCGCGGGTTCCGGAGTCCCTGCAGCCTGTGGTGAGTGCTCAGTGCACTCTGCCCAGAGCCCAGACTGTTTGGGTCCCTCCAGGCTTTCAGGTGCAGTGAAGTGGAGAGGTGGATTTGAAGCGTCTACATCTGCCTCCACATCCCAGCTGCAATTGGAGAGCTGTGGAGCATCCAAGGGGCAGGTGGGTGCACAGTGTCCCTGAGGTCCAGCTTGTCTGGAACTGTGGAGTTCTGAGCAGGCAGAGGAGGGCCATTGGTTCTGCAGGCCCAGTGGCTTGGGGAAACATGGTGCCAGAGTCTCAGGACCTGCAAACATAGAAGGGGATTTCCAAGAGATCCTGAGGAAGCTTTCAAATAACACTTGAAACACAGAAATATAGGAAAATCACAAAACAAAAGACCAAATTACAACCTCAAACCTCCAGTCCATCTCAAGAAACCTTAGGAGCAATGTATATAGAAGAAAATATATGCCATTGACCTCAAATATCAGACACAATAGTCACTAAAATTAACAAGCAACTCCAGGAAGCTTTAAAGAAATTCAAACTCAAAATAATCTCCAGGTAAAAGAAGAAATGATAAAAGAAATGAAAGAAATTTTGAATATATCTAAAGAAAACACAGATTAAAAAATTGGAGGAACTAAACAAAAAGATAGGATCCCTAGACCAACAATATAAGAAACAAACAGAATACATAATGCAGATGCACAGAGATGTACAGGAAATAAAAAACTCCACTGAAAGTTGTAAAAAAATGCCTCAATGAAAGTGAAGATAGAATTTCAGACCTTGAAGACAGGATTGCAGCTAGTGAACAGGAAAGAAAGACTTTTCAAAAATAACAAGGAATCAGGAAACAACAATTCAACAACTGCAAGATGATGCAAAGAAAAATAACATAAGAATGATAGGGATTAATGAAAAAGAAGGAGACAACATAAAGGATGTCAAGAGGATATTTAGAGAAGTAATAGCTGAAAATTTCCCAAGCAATGAGATCAGAAACCGACATCAGGATCAGTGAAGCATATAGAACACCAAATGGTCACAACCAAAATAAAACTACACCCAGACATATAATAATCACCATCCCAGAAATCCAACACAAGAATAGATTATTAAAAGCTGTCAGAGAGAAAAGACAGATCACTTATAAGGGAAAACCTATCAGTATCACAGCAGACTTCTCAGCACAAAAAATAAAGTCAAGAAGAGCATGGAGTGAAGTATTCCAGATGCTAAAGCAAAATGATTTCCAACCTAGACTGATATATCCTGCAAAACTATCATTCAAATTTGATGGTGAAATACGATACTTCCATGACAAAGAACAGCTGAAGAACTTCATGAACACCAAAGCAACCCTGCAAAAAAATATTGAAAGACAGTTTAGATACACAAAGGAAAAAACCACTAAGCAAAGCAGATAATTACACAGAACAGAAAGATAAAGATGCAACAGCATAGAGATAACATGTCAACAATAAACCAGCATTTAACAGTAATAACCATTAATGTAAATGGTCTCAATGCACCAATCAAAAGAAACAGACTAGGAGAATGGATCAAGAAACAAAATCCAACCATATGCTGTTTACAGGAAACCCATCAAACCCAGAAGGATACTCACGGACTGAAAGTCAAAGGATGGAAAACAATACTTCATGCAGCAGGAATCCAAAAAAAGGCAGGAGTAGCCATTCTGTTTGCAGACAACGTGAACTTTAAACCAACAATGACCATAAAGGACAAAGAAGGTCACTAGATACTCGTAAGGGGAAGACTCCAAGAGAAAGAGATAACTTTCTTAAATATATACGCACCAAACTCCAGAGCACCCAGTTATATAAAACAACTATTAACAGAAATGAAAACTCAAATTATCAGTAACACAATTGTAACAGGAGACCTTAATTATGCCATTGACACCAAGGGACAGATCAACCAGACAGAAAATGAGCAAAGAAATAACAGAACTGAATCACACCTGCGAACAAATGGGTTTAATAGACATATACAGAATGTTCCACCCAACAACATCAGAATACACATTCTTCTCAGCAGTCCATGGATCATTCTCTAAAATAGACCATATATTAGCTCACAGACATATTTAAACAAATGCAAAAGAGTTGAAATCATCCCTTGCATGTTATCGGATCATAGCGCTCTGAAATTAGAAATTAATGATAAAAGATACTGCAAAAATCCCGCAAACACATGAAAATTGAATAACACACTCTAGAGTAATCAGTGGGTCACAGAAGAAATTAAACAATACCTACAAGAAAATGAAAATGCAGATACAACTTACCGGAATTTGTGGGATGCAATGAAAGCCATCCTCAGAGGAAAATTTAGTGCACTGAGTTCCCCCATCAGGAAAACACAACGAATACTAATAAATAACTTGATGCTACATCTCAAACAGCTAGAAAAAGAAGAGCAAGTCAAACCCAAAGCCAAAAGAAGAGAGGAAATTATAAAAATCAGAGCAGAAATCAATGCAATAGAGACTAAGAAAACAATCCAAAGAATCAACGAATCAAAGAGTTGGTTCTTTGAAAGAATAAATAAAATCGATAAGCCCCTAGCCAACCTTATTTTAAAAAGGAAAGAAAAAGCTCAAATTCATGCAATAAGAAATGAAAAAGGTGAAATCACTACAGACCCAGTAGAAATAAAGAAGATCATCAACACCTATTTCAAAAACCTCTACTCTCAAAAGTTTGATAACACAAAAGAAATAGACAGATTCTTAGAAACATATGAAGTACCAAAGCTAGATCAAGAGGACGTAAAACTGTTGAATAACCCAATCTCTGTTAAAGAAATTGAAAATATAATTAAGTCCTTACCTACAAAGAAGCGCCCAGGCCCAGATGGATTCACTGCAGAATTCTACAAGAAGTACAAAGAAGACGTAATGCTGACACTCCTCAAACTATTCAATGAAATTGAAAGGGAAGCAATCCTTCCTAAGTCATTCCTGGAAGCAAATATTACTCTAGTACCAAAACCTGAGAAAGACCCAACTAAAAAAGAGAACTATAGACCGATCTCCCTAATGAACACAGAAGCAAAAATCCTCAATAAAATATTGGCAAATAGGATGCAGCAAATCATCAAGAAGATTATACACCATGACCAAGTGGGATTCATCCCAGGAATGCAAGGATGGTTCCACATATGTAAATCAATAAATGTAATCCACCATATCAATAAAGCCAAAAATAAGAATCACATGATCATTTCTATAGATGCAGAAAAAGCCTTCTATAAGGTCCAACATTCACTTATGATAAGAACTTTCCAGAAAATTGGAATAGATGGTCTTTATCTCAA